CATGATCGACAATGTGTTCTGCACTGTCACTTTCATTGAACGACAGTTATTAAAATGATTGAATATTAATATGCTAATCATGAGAATTAGCGCGATAAGTGCAATGGGAACGCGTTTATATGTTTACATAACGGCTGCAGTAACAGATAAAAAGAAAAAGATGTGCTCATGAGTCATGAATAATCATCTTTATGATTAGCCTTTCTACTCTTTAGAGTGATAAGCACAGAAGCTATAATATGAACGAAAAACTACTATTCTCCTTACTGAAGATACGGATGTTTCAGAAGCTTAAGAATATAAAAAATTTCTAATGGACCATATCATAGAATACTTTATCTAGACTGAAAAAAAAGGTTCCAAACGGAACTTAATTTGCAACGAAATCGAAATCTTCTTAGAGATTTCGTATGGGCCTAAGTGGCTTCCAAAAGACTTATAGAGAGTCTAGGATACTTTTTTTAAGGTTTCGATAGAAATCTGCGAAACCTTCAAAAAGGTTTAGATTCGTTGCAAATCTCGAAACCTTTTTTAAGTTCCGTAGTATGTATGAAACTATTTTTAAGTTCCGTAGCACGCACAAAACCATTTTTGGCCCTTCTTAGTTCCGCATGAAACCTTTTTTTTCCAGATTAATACAAAAGAAACCATCAGAAACAATGAGTGAATATTATAGCCCAAGAAAAGTGCACCGGAAGTGGTTGACAACAAGTAGAATATCAAATGAGTCAAGAAGGCAGTACATCATCCAGTCAGCAACGGAATTGCAAAACGATTCGTTCGATCATTCAAAGAAGAAATTCTGAAAGAATGACGTTCCAGACAAACGGGCAAGAATGTCGTACTTCGAAAGGTTCTACGATATTACCGATGGAACCTCATACTTTAACCGGGATTCCATCTATAGAAATGTTACTCCGACGCCCGATTCCAATTGAATCTGCTGGATTGAAACCGGATTCATCGAAACCAAAGCCGGCATACACAAAGTATCATATAAGTCAAGCCGTGCAGACAATGGATATTCACTTAAGAGATGATTCGTGATACCGTACAATGACTTTTTTCAAATATAATTTAAGAATCACTTCAATAATTATCAATGTGCTTGGGAGCAAATAACCGGTGTTATGACAAGTTTGATTAGACCAGATGGTCGATATTGAAATAAAAACAAGATTAGATAAGTTGAATTGCTTCTTGAATCAAATGAACAAACAAAATATGTTGTAGAATATTTCCATTCAGTAATAATAATTATATACAAACCCTACGCCCTATGGTATAGATTTTTTATTGTGGTAAATCCATAGAAAGTATACCATATATCTGAGTGAAAGTCTGTTTTTCGATTTTGACCATCTAATGAGGTAGCACGCAGTCGAAAATAGTCTATGAGCGGGAAGAAAAAAAGTTGTGATACCTAAAGTTTGCAAGTTAAGCTCATGTACATGTCCAAAGTTTAGGTATCAAAATTTGTTTTTTTCTCGCTCACAGACTATATTAGACTGAGTGCTACCTCACTCAGCGATCAAAATCACAAAGATCTTTCATTCCGAAAAATGATACAAAATCCATCTGATTGCCCTTTTGCCCAGAAAGTAGTATGCTTTCCATGAATTCACTGGCTAATCAAACTTGAAGATTTAGATAAAATGTTATTTGTGGTTTCTACTCTCGACAAAGATTTAATTTCGATATTATTATTATTCTAATGCTTTTAACAGTAATGAGGTGTGCGATGTGTCCTCACGCTTCGCTATCATAGACGAATTTCGTCTCTGTGACAAGAAAAAAAACCATATGAATTACATATTTGATAGAAGTACTACAGACAATTTACGTATTTAAAATTACAGTAATTTTGACATTTTTAACATAGAAGGAACAAGACAAGAAAAAAAAATACATGGATATAAGATACAATATAATTTTGTTGATATAGAACCACAAGAAATTGTAAACAACATGTAAGAAGAGGAGAAGGACATATAGAATCAGTTTACAATAACAGTAGTGTAATCAGAAGCAGAAAGTAAAATCAAACAAGGAGGTTCTCGGATCGTTGAATAAGCTGATGATTTTCTTACTCGTTCTTCCTTTCTTGACGATCGTTCTTGTTTCCTTCAACAAAATTGGATTGTTGTAATATTCCTGTATATATAACAGGTACATTTTATGTTGAAGGAAGTTACATATCACCGAAGGATTAGTTCGGAGGATCGTACCAATAAGCTTTGACCAGTGAATCTGGGTGAGCTCATCAATTGATTTATACTTACTTAAGTTAGAAACTTCGATGTTGCTTGCGTCATGCCACCCATGTATACATCTAAACACCTTCCTATTTAAGGCTTCTAATTTATTTTGTTTAGTGATAGGTAATATCGGATATATATTTAAAATAGATTGATAATGTGGTCTAATATAAGCATTGTATAGCCGATATGCAACGTCTTCGCTGAGCATGCGACTGGATGCGAGACGCTTAAAGATCGACAGATTTTTTCGCATTTTTGATTCAATATAATCTATATGTGAAAAGAAGGAAAGCTTGCAATCCAAGATGGTCCCAAGATTTTTAATTTTTGTTTCATGGGAGATCGTGTAACCATTGCATATGATCGGTGGAATTATAGGTGAAACTTGTCTATAAAATAGAGTCCAGTGCGTCTTTTGAAAGTTGATAGGTTGTTTCCACATCGACGCATATGATAATAGTGAACAGATAACACCTTTAAGTCTTTCCACCAGATTGGGTATAAGTTCTTTTGTCGACCACGTGACTGATGGAGAAATTACTACCGAGAGATCATTCGCGAAAAGATGCTTCCAGTGTAATAAGGAAATACAATTTAATAGATCATGATGGTTTACGATAAAAATGACTGGGCCAATACATGACCCTTGTGGTACATCCTTATATAAAGTAAAAGTGCTAGATCTAGTATCTTTTAATTCAATGTACGCCGAGCGTCCCGATAAGTAATTCCTTAGCCAGGCTAATAAATATGCTGGACAACCTAGTTTATATAGTTTTAGCCATAAGCCTTTGTACCACAACTGATTGAATGCTGTTTTAAAATCCACGAATATGGCAGCCGCCGCCGTATTTAAAGCTAAGCATTGACCAATTTGATCTATGATTGCAACTAGACGCGCTGTCATATTGTAACCAGGACGGAATCCGGTTTGCTCTTCCGGCAGAATACCAGTATCGCTTACCCATTTACGAAATTGTATTAGGAAAATCTTTTCATATAATTTAGAAAAACATGGAAGGAGCGAGAGAGGACGTGTATCACTCACATTTACAATGTTTGTTTTGGTTTTAGGCAGTAATATCATTTTAGCGACTTGCCAATGAAATAAGATGGGAGACACAAGTGCGAAGCAAAAAAATTGAAGGAGGACCATATAATTGAATGATACGATTTTGGTAACAACTTGATTATTTTATTAGAAACGCCGTCTAAACCAGCCGAATTTTTGTTCTTCAATGTTGAGATAGCTTTCGCAATGTCCTTTAGTTCAATGAAAAATGCAGGTGGTGTGTTGTATTTCATGTCGATTCCAAGTTGATTATCCACATTCCCCGCTTCCTTTTCGATGGTCGAGGAAGTATTTGCGTGTTCAGAAAATTGTTCTTCATAAAAATCCTTAGCAATGTCACACATTTCAGTGAGTGTTGAGACTATAGAGCCATTTGACATCAAGAACCCTTGAATCGGTGAAGAAGTGGCCGAAAAGTGCCTTTGCGCCCTTTTCCAAAATTGTTTCACATCACATTTATTTAACGTTTTACAATATTCGCACCAAGCTAGTCTCTTGTAGGCGGACAGTTCTTTCTTTATTGTAGTCGAGTATGTTTTTAGTTGTGCGATGAAAAACGGATGTTTTGTTTTTCTTACACGACGTAAACAAATATTCTTCTGTAGTATCAAGTCCACGATGTAAGAGGGAAGTGATGGTTTATAAGAGTTACAATATGATACGTAAGTGAGTCGCGCTACAACTAATGCCAAGAAACGTTCATACGTATTGAAAAATTGTGTTTTATCTTGCATAATAGACGACAAATTTTCCCAAAATGAAAAAGTGAACGTTGTGAACATTTCGAATAATTGCCAATAGGTACGTTTCACTGGATATTGGCAATCCCTTTTGATCAATTTGACGGCAGGTGTCCAAATAACCGGAAAATGATCACTCCCCACAGAAAGAAGTACAGAAAAGGCAGATGAGGTTCCAATAAAATGTGCTGGTGCTATTATTAAATCAATTGTTGCGCTTGATCGAGCTGATGTTGGTACGTATTTATTAACTACTGTTAGTGAATTAGTTGATGACCAGTTAAATAGAACACGCCCCTTTTGATTCTCATTTGACTTGGACCATGATTGGTGTTTCGCATTAAGATCTCCTAGAGAATTGTATTTTTATTGCGCTTTATAATTTGATCGAAGAGAGCAATCGGTAGATTTTCATTTGGTGGTGAATATCATGTTGCTAGTTGGAATTTGTCGTGAGAAGTGCCGATGTCCAGAACTATAACATTTGGGACTTTCTGGAAAGCTTCTATCCGTTGAACTGAGATAGAACGATTTACCGCTATTAGTACTCCTCCAAACTTGTTTGTTCCTTCTTGTGAATAAATGTTATAATTGCTAAAGTATTTTGAAAGGCTTTTGATAGCTACATCATCGTAGTATGTTCCATTAAAAACGATAATAGGACAAGGAACATTCCCTAATAGGAGAAAAATATCAGGTAAGTATAATGCTAAACTACTAACATTTAATAACATTATTTTTAATTCACTTTTAACTTGCATTATGTCCTTGGTTTGTTTACTTCTTGTTTCCCATCTGAATAGTAGATCATCTAAAATATGTATGGTGGTCAATTCAACAATAAGTTCATGAAGTATATTTTTCTGTTTTTGAGTCAAATGATTAGTTGGTATATGATACGAAACATGATGATTTGGGATGAATTCTTTAGCACGTGGATTCATGATTCATTTCCGTACTTGTATCGTTGGATGTTACTATTCTATGTAAGCTGGATGTTGTCTGCTGTTGTTGTTGAAATATTTTACGATTATTTTGTGTGTGAAAGGACGTGCATTTTAAACGTTTTTGATCTAGAAAACTAACTAACTTATTATACGCTGGGTTAATTTGCTGTTTTTGTTGAGCATTGATTTGAGTATAAATAATGTTTGTTACATCTTTCAAAAGCGGACATACAATATCATTTAATATATAATTAATGTTGAGCATTTCCATGGCTTGATTGTTAATTTTCATATTTGTATCATTGAATTGTTTACCTAAGTCTGTCTGTTGTTTTAGTATCGTTCGTATATTGTTCTCAATGGAATTTAATTTTTTCATCAAATAATTATTATTATTACTATCGATAGCTTTGTCCATCAACACTGATTGTGTTGTAATTCCGTGTCCAAATAACTGATGAGCAGTATTGCCTGCCCATATATTTGTATGTGTTGGTGCCATAGATGGTGTTATTTTCATTTTCATTTTTTTATTTTCACGTGTTTCAATTTTAGAAGGACAATTCGGATTTCCTGCCATATGATTCCCTTTACAGTGGGCGCAGCAAGTTTCATTTTGACATTTAGGATTGTAGTTATGTTGTTGACCACATTTGAAGCATATTGGTCTATCTTTATTTGGGCAATGTGCAGCAACATGATCGTCATATTGTTGACAAATATAACATCGAAGAATTCGAGTAGGTGAAACGTATGGTTCTATCGTATACGCTGTATTATCATCATCAAGTAATATTCGTTTATTCTTCAGTATTGCTACTAATTCCTTGCTAGATGAAAAGTCAATACTAATTCTGGGTATAGCTCGCCCACCCTTCACAAACAAACGTTCACCTTTAATGATTGTTTTATAGCGTACTTTAAGTTCATCACAAAACTTTTGGACATTCCACTGAGTTGGGATGTCCAAAACCACCAAAGAATATGAAGATGGAAATCTTCGAGGAAAATCAATGGAATACTCACAATCGCAAATGTTTTCCGGCCATTTCGGCTTGTCCAAAAGTGCTTCGAGCTGCGTTGCTGTGTTGCAATAAAGTAGATAATACTTATCGTTGTTCAAAGTTGACATTCGACCATATGTTACATTTAATTTGCATTTTTTATTTAGTTCCTTGATAATGGTGACATCTTGTAATGGATATTTGTTATCTTTGAGCTTTATTCGGAAGGGTGGAAATGATTCACGTTGTTGTTGTTTACTATTTGATGATTCATATATATGTTTGTGTCTTGATAAGTTGTTTGTATGTTTACGAAAAGTCTGATGATTGTTAAAGTACGAAGATATTGTCGTTTCTCGTTGAACATCATTCGAATGACGTGAACAACTGTCGATCTGTTCTGTGTTTCGACGTTTAGGAGTATCTGACGATTGTATTGAACCTTCTCCATCCCCATGGTCGTTTCTTCTTTTACGAGCATGGCGATATGGATATTGATAGTCATCTTGATTATCTTCCTTGTTTGTTATATTCTCTTCTTCCATTTGCACTAAATGGTCGAAATCACCTTGATTGTGATAATTACTGTCACTTTGTGCTATGCTATTTCCCGTTTTACCCATAAGGTATACTCCGGGAAACCACAAGGTGACGTGTAAAAAGTAAACAATAAGACAGAGAAGAACGATTATAGAAAGTACGTTTTATCTGTACTGACGAAGCGTGAGGAATGATTTTATTTCGATACATTTTCTGTCAGTCACATTTTTATACTAATTGACGTAGTTTATACACTAGAGAACATGACATGTGGAAGAGAGATATGAACGGTTTATTATAAGAAGCGTACTTGAAATCCACATCATTTTTGTGTCATAAAACTTTTTTAATAAGGATTATCGCTAAAACAGGCATAAAGTTTAGTAAAAAGAAAAAAAAAGAAAAAGGATAAAAATGGCAGGCCAGGCTAGTCCGACAAAAAGCGTAGTCCGCTCGACCCGAAAGAAAAATCTCCTCGGAACGGACTGGACTACCGGATCAGGCGACCTATTTCGAGCCCTGAAACCTACCAAGTATGCCTAGGAGAAGTTATAAACGACAAGTCGTTGACATTTGAATTCCGCAGTCCCCTAAATTCCTGCCGGAATCGACCAGTTTTTGTATTCCTTAATTTTCTCAGCATCAGTTCAACGGTTTGAGACGATGTACGTCTCAAAACATCGAGAAAATAAATTCCCTATACTAGGACTAGGCAGACAAAATTGCGCCTTGATATGCGAGGAGAGATGTCACTTTTGCGCTTCGTTCCCAGGAGCGAGAATACGACATGCATACGCGTTATTATTGACACAAACTTTCTGAATTCATCGAACAGAAAGCAATTTGATAAAAAATTATGATTTTCTTATAAACTTTGACCAAAGGTAATCGAGGCCGAGAAATCCAAATATGTCATTGGTTTCTCAAAATTTCATACGTCCATGAAAAAATAAATTTTACCCGCATTATTTTTATGCGGTGGAAACTGCTAAGACTTCCGTATTTGTTACACTTCAGCCCCTTTAGGGCATTCAGGATGTAGGTGACGGTGAAAATGTGGATATTTTTGAAGTTAGGGTGCCAAAGGATGCTAAAGAAGCAAACGGGTGCTATAGAAACTAAAAGAATTAAAGGAATTAAAGGGATTAAAGGGACTAAAGCGACTAAAATGACTAAAATGGCTTAAGGGACTTAAGAGACTTAAGAGACTTAAGAGACTAAAGGGACTAAAGAGACTAAAGGGACTTAAAGAACTAAAATGACTTAAGGGACTAAAGGGACTTAACCCTGATCCGTCAATCTATAAAATACTCAAATTCTACTAGTCTCTTTCGATTGGTTTCCGGGTATAATGATTACATTTTCTCGTTTCAATTTATATTACACTGAAGAACAACGGTGTGTACTATCAATATGAACTGTTTTCGTCTACTCATTGTTTGTCTCGGAGAAAAGCAAGACATATCTGCGAATCACTCGTTTTCGGCTGGGGCCCATACGGATCCTAGGTTGATGAATCAGGGCTAAGGGACTAAAGGTATAACTTGGAGGGTTTAAAAGTAAAACAGGATAAATTTTATTTTTCGTGGACCCCTCATGGTTGTGAGTACGGGCGTTGAAGAAAAGAAGGCCTGCACCTGTGCCCACATGAACACTTTTTTGTACCATCATCGCTACTTATTCTACACCCTAATATATAAAGACGGTTAGCCATTAAGAAAAGCGAGAGAAAAAAAAGAAAAAAAAAGAAAGGAAGAGAATAAAAAGAAGATTAAGAAAAGGATACACGGCAAAGACAATACGACCTAATGTTATCGTCACATTTTATAATAAGTTGCTGCTATCGACATTTTATCGTAATGATATTAGTGCAAGAACGTTAAAATAGTATAGAAATATAGAGCATTGTTTGTTTTCACTATCAGTATATGTAAAGAGAAAGTTTTCTTAACTTTACGATACGGTACTGAACTGCCACTGCCACTGCCACTATTTTTGGTATGCCCGAAACAATTTTTCACACACTTGATTTTTTACGATTTGGTATAAATTTGGGTTGTTGCATACTACAGATAGGCTGGAAAACACAAATGGTCAAGTGTACGAACCGGGTATGAAATCAAAATGTTTCTTTTAATGCAATGCTGATTAAAAGTTCTACATTCCCGAAGTTTATCTATGTTCGAAGCTTCTAGCTTGAGATTTTTAATGCGTATATATAGTAACAAACGCTGACCGTAGACACTATACCAACATCAATTTAAAATGACAGAACAGAGCTATACTTCAAACACTGTCTTTACATTCGATTACACGTATCTCAACTAGAGATGTGCACGGGACCCAAGGGGGAAAAAGCGAAATTTTCAGAGTGCTTACTCCCACCATACTCCCATTGTACTCCCATCGTACTCCCACCGTACTCCCATTGTACTCCCATTGTACTCCCACCGTACTCCCATTGTACTCCCATTGTACTCCCATCGTACTTCCATTGTACTCCTACCGTGCTTCCACCGTACTCCCATCGTACTCCCACTGTACTCCCATCGTACTCCCACTGTACTCCCACTGTACTCCCACTGTACTCCCATTGGACTCCCACTGTACTCCCACCGTACTCCCGTTGTACTTCTTCAGAATCTTGTTCAGAATCCATTTTATTTTGCTTTATAGCATCTCTCCTTACTACACCTTAACTATATTTCAACAGATGNAATGTAAAATTCATAAAAATTAAAATATAAGAGAAACTAAAAAAGAGACTTTTCCAAAGACCCTCTAGAAAACCATGACCTCGTGGTATGTGATCATTACCAAACCTCTGCGCTTGTTCAGCCTTGAATTCTCTATCTATTGACGTTTGAACCAACATTCTACCATCTACCAACGTTGAGCTCTATTGCAATTTAAAAAAGTGTAATTTTCAAAATTTCACATTATATTTAAAAATTGAAATCTTATGTTAGAGAGTTGAGTTTTTGAAAAAATGCTCGTCTTTCAATGCTGACTCCAAATGTGATATTCAAAAGTTTTTTCTAACGCTCATCTTTTTCCCAAACCATTTTTTCCGTCACCTATAGCTAAAAAACGACGGTTTTCTATAAACCCAACTTCCGAGGGTTTTGGAAAAAATTTTCTGAAGACAAAAAGAAAGAGTACGTCAAGAAACCTTTATAAATCAAAGGGCAATCTGATACGTTCAGCCATTCTGAAGATAACCTAGGCCAACTTTCTCATATTACACGGCTATTGTAAACTATTCGGTTCATTCGACATTGATAAATTCAGATGGAAAATAGGTCACTAAACATTAGTAACTGGTAGTTTTCTACAATCAAGAGAGAACTAAAGAGAAATAATCAGAAAGGATTATTTATTTTTCACTCTAGCTTTGAATTAAATAGTGGCATCTTCAATCGAAAGAGTAAGAGAGATGGTGGTAGTGCTTACGTTTGACTTACTGAAACCAAAGTTTTGAATAAACTCAAATCGGATGATTATTAACTAGTGTCGACGACATGTGTTTGGGTTTAATAGTTGATCAACGTTTATTTGCTAAAACACCTGAATTATTCAAGTGTCAATTAGAAAAATCATTCACAACTTAATGTAAGGCTCAACGACACGGCATTTCACTTTCAATACTGGTCAATTGTACAAATCTAATTTTAATTGCTCAAAAATTTGCTTTCTCTGTTTATCATGCTGAAATTGATTTAATCATGTTAACGCATTGAGTATGTCAGCCCGAATTAGAACGCCCTGTGATCATGATCGTAGTTGCTACACAAGGTTTTTCATGGATTTAATGATCGAAAGAATTTATTTGAACTCGAAAATCTAACACTCAAACGTGCTTAAATAATAATATAAAGAGAAATTATGATATTTAAACATTGAATAACAACTTAAATGCAATGAGTTTTATAGTTACGATAAATACTATTATATAGAATATTGTTTCAGTTTTTGTAGATATTAGTAGACTAAAAACAAAGATAAAAATAGGATCAAAAAGTTTAAAAAAACAATTTGACCAGAAGCAAGTAAAGAAAAGATGCAGAAAGATACTTATGTGCGATTAAAAGATTAAAAAAGGAAAAAGAAGCAGAAAAAAAGAAAAACGCATATTAGTGTAGTTCTTTCGGGCTAAAATATGAAAGTGACATATTTTATATAGTGTGCTGGAATTACTGCCGTTGCATTTACAGTCGTAAACAATATTTTAAAATTGTATTTTATACTACATCGAGAGTCAGGAGTTTTCGATTTGTATAAGCATGTAAATCAGTTTATCTATAGGAAAGGATTTCGCATTATTTTTATGAGAATTCTTTTATTTTTACTACTTGCTTATGGAATATTTGAAGAAAGTAAAAGTCAATTGGAAAATAAAAATTCTAGAGTATATGATCAATTGCTTGTTTTATTCAATTTTCAGATATTGAAAGTGACGAAGACCGGCACCTTTTAAAAATGTTTTTCTATGAATCTGTTTTTTTCTAATTTATCCCATGAACAATATAATCATTCTTTGGCTATGCAAGTAGCTCTTCGACATTTTGGTGGAGCTGCCCCTGCTTCATGTCTTTATCGTTCATCTTCTGCTAGTAGTTGTTCATTTTTGAACATATCAATACATGCATAAATATCAGGATACGATTTGGTAGATCTTTTTTCCATTTGTTATGACATCCTTCAATATAATTTATGGTACGCGGATTGATATTTCGATAATGATTATACATAGGTGCCGCCATGGTTGCGTGGTTACGTTGTTTGGCACGCACCCACATAAAGTACTGTGTTCAAACCTCAGTAACATCACCCATGGAATGACTCTGGACAAGTCACTAACGGCTAAGTTGTCTCTAATGACTCATTCCACATGAGTCATTCATACTGACTATATATTTAGCTCGTATGTTGGACGGAAGAGGGTGCAGATACCGCCGTCTGTAAAAAGAAAAAGACGAAAGAACCCGGTTGCACGTGGAAACTATTAATAATAACGGCGGCCGACCCCAACGGGCGATAAGCCTATGGGACGTTGTTATTATTATTATACATAGGTGGTGGAAAACTGCTGTTAATGTCATACATTTTTCTGTGATATTCCAAAAACGAGTTAATTTGATTTTCGTGTAAGGATCGTATTGTTGATTGTAGATGTTCAATTGCTTCACTCATATCTTCTGGCAGTAGAAATGCTATGGCAGCAAAGCTTCTGAACCAAATCCATACATTTTCATCGATTTGAAAGGTTGTTCTTAGATTTACATCAACAAATTTTCGAAATAGTGCTTGTCCATAATGATAGAAATAACCTTTCAACTATGTGAGTGAAAAAAAAATACTATAAAAATATTATTTGACGACCTTTAAATAGTTTTTACTGATCAAACTTTAAAAAAATTTCAATAAATAAACTTGTGAACATTTTAGTCTTTAAACTGTCCTTTATTTTTAATTTCATTTAGTTTTAAAAAGAAAAGAACAGGCCAATCGATGAAGAATTGCATGGTCTACCAGTTTCTACAAACTGCTATTTTTCACATAATCCGCTTTATGATTTCTCTGCGAAACGATGATAAAAAAATAACACGCTATTTCTGAGAGAAACTAAAAGTACGGCTGAATCTAAAAGCAACATATTTCAGTTACATAAGTTATTTCTTTACGTCCTTTCTATACGTCTAAATCCGCACAATTTCATCTTTACGTCCAAATCTGTGCCGCCTAATCTTGTACGGCTAAATGTGTATGGCTTAATGTGTACGGCTTAATCTTGTACAGGGTGTGGGTGGGTGTGGGATGTGAGTATTCTCTTCACGCCGACACGCACACCCACACCCACGCCACGTACAAGATTAAGTCGTATAGATTAAGCCGTATAAGATTTAGCCGTGCACATTTAGCCGTACAAGGTTAAGCCGCATAGATTAAGCTGTATAAGATCAAGCCATAAAGGATTAAGCCGTATAAAATTAATCGGTGTAGATTGAGAAGCATAGAAAAGGACTAACAAAACACCTTAGAAAAGAATGTACTTTGTTTATGTACGAAAAAGGGTGCATTGAATGAAGAATGTAGAACATAGTTTTGTGTGGATCTTGTCGAAGTGAATTTCTGGAGATCGAAATTCGTTCTCCCGTAGGTGTGTTAAATTTTTTTCGAAATTACGTTGTACATGCAAGTTGGTCACGAAGGTGTACGAGTTTTTTTTATCGTTTCCGATCGAAACGATAAACCGGATGGACTCTTATCTTTTCATGTTCCATGTTTACTTCCAGAAGCCTGATTTTAGTGGGAAAAGGCAAAAGACATGGAAAAGTGAAATTCTTCAATTTCCATCATCTTTCAATCGAGAACTTTTCTAATTATTTCAATGAGAGCCACAATGTTCATAGTTTTGTCAACTAATGTAGTCATCTGGAGAGGGCACAAGCTTATCTTTAAGAGGACAAAAAATGTATCTGTATCTATCGTTGAGTCGACCGGCTTTCAAATGGAAGTCATCATGTATGCGGTGTCTGTTTTACAACTTTATTTCGCACATAGAAGTACATTGCTCATATCTCATATTCACACGCACTTCTAAAAAAGAATCACTTTTAATTATCTCATAGTCACTTTCGAACTTTTTTGAGGGTGTGGATGACTGTGTTGCTCTTATTTTAGATATACTAACACCCACATCCCTATGGCAAGAGGTTGATTAGTCGCTGTCATAATTTCTTTTCTTTTATGATGATGTTAAGTGGCAAGATACGTCGTTTTCTCAGTGAATATGATAAGTTAATAGTACCCGTAAAATTTGCTTATCGAAAAATCTAACTCGCATCAGAATAGCATTTTTTATGCATTTCGAGCTGCTCCGAAGATTCGTCCAGTGAGAGTTATGAAATATTATACTACAGATGGCACTATATACTTATTTATGAGACTTCAAAAATACACCATGTTGAAAAAGTGATTCGATAATTTGGGTTCTTATCATGAAAATTTGAGTTAAATTCTGCCTTTTCACATCAACTCGACTCTGCAGTAGGTAAATATATGCACGTTTTACTGTTATATATATTATGGCTTTATCTTATATATAACGAAGAAAAAGAATTATTTTATTACTCAAGATCGTTATAAAACGAGAGTAAAACAGCATATTGTGTAGGCTTTATTCTGTTTTATTATACTGATGACTACAAATAAACGGTTGACATCGATAGAGTATGCAAGAATGTATTATTTGAATTTTGATCGTCTAGCGTTAACAATTAAATTCCGTTTCTTTTTTTTAGCTGAACCTTTTAGTTTGTTTCATATTTTGAACATCTTTGATCCAATCGACATTTAAAAAAATCAAGAAATAGCGTACACAGGCCAGAACAAAAGAATTGTATTGACTAAAATAGATTTTATAAAATAAAGTTGATGTGAAGAAAAAAAACAAGCTGACTCTATAGACAATTTCCTTTCAAGATGTACAGTTGGTTTTGCAAAGTTAAGAATTGATCAATATCAATGATCTGCTTTGAGTCTCACCCTTGTATTTTCGGCTCACTAGACATCAATTAGGCAGTGATATAATGTGAGTGTTATAGACTTCAGAAAGATTTTCTAGATAACAATATAATTCAACGCCTAAAGCATTACAGTATTTTCCTCTGAACTATATCATAATGATCTTTTACAATAGACTTTCTCCAATGAATTTATTGCAAAAATAGATTCAGAATAATAGAACAGATTGCTAAAGATATTTAGGCAAGCATTCTCACAAAATAGAAAATAAGACCAAAGCAACGAATTGTTGTCATAATATTATATTTTTGTTTCTATTATCTCAAACAGAATGTTTAATGAAAGTTAATTAAAATTTGATTATACGTCCGATCACTAGTGATAATCATTTGTTAATCAATCAATATACTTCAGTTTCATTATATCAACACGATGTTTTCTTTTCCAAAATGATCAGATAATACCACATGAAAGAGACTAAACTCTATTTAGATTGAATAGCTTAGTGGCCAGAATCATTTTCAGTTTACTTTTGCAACGCTGATCAAACAACGATGAATAGAAAAGAAAACAAAGAAACTATCACTATTGTTTGGTTCGATTCTAATATTCATTCAAACAATAATACAGAAAACATCAATGAAAAATTACGTCAAATTAATGATTATGTTCTATACTACGACGAGAGCGAGCCTTGTATTAAATATATTAACTCGATTGGCAAAGAGAAAATCTTCTTAATTACGTCGAGTAATAATGCCCCTCAGATATTATCTCAGATCGACACGCTTCCACAAATCAATTCCATCTTCATATTCGATTTCGATAAAAATCAAGGCAAAGAATTTGTTTATCAACATTCGAAATTCATTGGTATTTATACTGAATTAGATAAGTTGTACTCATCAATTGAAGAACAAATTGAACTTGATGATGAACTATTTCAAACATTCAGTTTCTTTGATCAATCTGAATATGTAACACACGATTTATCGAAACAAACTTCTGATTTATTTTGGTATCAACTTTTCAATAATATTATTTTGGAATCATCACATAATCAATTAGCAAAGAATGAAATGATCAATTTTTGCCGTCAATACTATCAAGGTAACTTAAGATACTTGAAATTAATTGATGACTTTGAACGTGAATATCGTCCAAATCAAGTCATTCAATGGTATTTGAAAAAATCATTTCCCTATGGAATGATTAAAAGAGCATTACAAATAAAAGTTATGGATCAACTGCATGCATTAAGATATTTCATGTGTGATCTTGCACAAAGTTTTACCGATCAACATCAGAATAAGATTCAATATGAATGTGAAAATTTTACTGTATATCGAGGTATGAAATTATCGACTGATCAATTAGACGAATTCAAAAAAAATGAAGGAAAACTTCTTTTAAACAATGGATTCTTGACAGCAACTCGACATCGTCCTAATGCGCTGAATTCGGCTCGCAAATCAATAAGACAAAAGAATTTTATTCTTGCAGTTTTCGAAATCGAGTTAAATGCACAAGATTTTAACAGAACTGTTCTCTTTACTGACATAGACAAATGTAATGAGTACTCGAAGCAAAATGATATTCTCTTCAGTTTAGGTGTCACATTTCGTTTGAACAATATTGAATTTCATGAAAACGTTTGGATTATTAAAATGAGCAGCTCAAATGAAGAAAAAAATATTCTAGAAAAATATATTGAAGATACACATCGTCAAATCGATGATCAAAGTACGGAGATTATATTTGGACGTCTCATGTTAGATATTGGCCAGTGGAATCAATCACAAAATTATTTTGAACGCTTATTAATTGATTCGAATAGTATAGATCAATCTTGGATACAACATAGTCTTGGTGAAATTCATTATTTGAAATCAGAATGGAATATCGCACATAAATATTATGGTCCTGCTTACGATCAGATGATGGATCCAAAACAAATGCGTATTAAAGATTCAGCTCGAGTACTTTCCGACATTGGAGAGACTCTGTTTGCACAAGGAAAATTCGAAGAGGCCATGAATTATCATCAACGAGCATTAGCAATTCGAAAGGAATATTATCCTTCCGATCATGTGCATATTGCTACTAGCTTTCGTAATATTGGTGATGTCTTATTTATTCAAAACAAATACGACGAAGCATTTTCATACTTGCAACAGGCACTAACAATTTTGGAGAAATATTACAAGTGCTCTCATATAGATATGGGTAAGTGTCTCATCAGCATTGGACTGTGTTTTCGTGAGGAAAACAATCACGAAAAAGCTCTTGAATTTCATCGACAAGCAATAGAAATCTACGAAAAATATTATCCTTTGGGCCATTTATACATTGCAAGGACGCTCAATAATATCGCAGATCTTCTATATCGACAAGAGAAATATTATGAAGCTATCAATATTCATCAACGAGCGTTGTCAATGCAAAAGAAATGCTATCCATTTGATCACATCTATCTCGCTAACCATCTTTGTACGATTGGCCTTATTAACCATGGATTAAGAAATTATGCTTCTGCTTTGAAACTTTTTCAGCAATCATTGACATTACAGCAAAAATACTACACATCCGGTCATGTCGATCTTATATGTGTGTTGAATAACATTGGTGATACTTTGAATATATTAGGAGAGTTTGATAATGCTATGAATTTTCATCAGCAGGCACTCGCGACGTTGGAGAAATATTATCCAACTTTTCAAGTCAGCATAGCATTCACATTCAATCGAATCGGAGAAGTTCTACGCAGTCAAAAGAAATATGAAGAAGCTATATGTCATCACAAACAAGCATTGATGATGCAAAGGAACTACTATCCATCGGGTTATGCCAATATAGCTTGCACACTTACAAACATAGGTTATGCATTATTCCAACATGAAAAATTTGATGAAGCTTTATATCAATATCAACAAGCACTTGCAACACTCGAAAAATACTGTCCATATGCTCTTGGTAGCATTGCTTATAGTTTGAACTATATCGGTATTACTCTAATTAGTCAAGAAAAGTTTGATGAAGCCATAGATTATTTTCAGAGAGCATTGGAAAATCAAAAGTGCTATTATGGTTGTGACCATCTCACTCTTGCCGATACCCTTACCCACATTGGTATGGTACTTCATCGTCAGAAAAAATATGATGACGCCATGACAACTTATAAAAAAGCCTTAGAAATTCAAGAGAAAAATTATCCTTCAGGACATGCCAACATCGCCACAACGCTAAATCAAATCGGTTGGTTACTGTTAGGCGAAAAGAAGTATAATGAAGCACTTAGATTTTATGAACAAGTACATTCATTACTTATAAACCTTGGAAGCAGTTATCCCTCGGATCAATTGCAGATGGCTAACATTTTAAGAAACATTGGTAACGTTCTATATTTACAAGATAAAAACCAAGAGGCTGTTATATATCAACAACGTGCATTATCGATCGAAGAAAAAATCTTACCACCAGATCACACTGAAATTGCGAGTATATGCATAGAGATTAGTCGTAGTTTGCGTAGTCAAGGTAAATATACTAATGCATGTGAGTTCGAACAACGAGCTCTAACAATTCAAGAGAAAATTAGTCCATTGAATTACTCGAATATAGTTGATAGATTGAATAATATTACTAATATTCTCTGCGATCAAGGAAAATACGATGAGGCACTATTGTATCAACAACGAACGTTAGGGATACGAGAAGTACATTATTCGTCAGATCATAAAAACATTGCGAATGATCTTACAAGTATTGGATATCTTCGAATGCAACTGAAACAGTATGATGAAGCTATCGAAGTCTATCAACGAGCACTTTCCATCAGAGACAAATTTTGTTCAACTGATCAAGCTGAAATCGCTAATAATCTAGAACGCATCAGTTATGTTCTAGAAAAGCAAACAAAGTACGATGATGCCATCGAATTGAAGCAAAAAGCATTAAAAATCTATGAGACATTGTATCCAGATGGTCATGCTAGTACAGGTACGTGTCTTAATTCTATCGCACGCATTCTCAGTCATCAACAAAAATATGATAAAGCGTTTGAATTTCAACAACAAGCGCTGGCGATCCGAGAAAAATGCAGCCCATGCAAGCATGCGGATATTGGTAGTACTCTCAGTGGCATGGGTACCACGATGTCTTTACAAGCTAGATACAATGAAGCTTTTGACTTCTATCAAAAGGCAATTATACACTACGAAAAAGATTATCCTACTGGATATGAGAACATGGCCATTACATTGGGTAATATTAGTTCGATTTTCAAGTTTCGAAGAAACTACGCTGCAGCTCTAAGTATGCAACAGCGAGCATTAAAAATTCGGCAGGAAAATTGTCCATTTGCACACTCTACCATTGCCAAAAATCTCAAAGACATGGCTGCTATAACGCATCAGCAAGGGAATTATGACGATACTATAAATTTTTACCATCAAGCGCTATCTATACTCGAAGAACATTGTTCAATGAGTCATGTTGAAATAGCTAGTTGTCTACACACGATGGGGGTTATTGCAAATGAAAAGCAAGATTTTGACCGTGCCATTCAGTATTTTGAAAGATGTCTATGTATTAGAGAAACGAGTTTACCTGTAAATGATCCTAAAATTGCTGATACTCTAATACATTTGGGTCAAGTTCAAAGAAGTGGACATCATCACGAACTTTCTTTAGCATATGAAATGAATAGCTGCTTAATGCGTATAAAATTTCAACAAGCGACTACAACAGAAATTGGTCAAAGTTTTTCTCGCATCGGTGACAATTACGAGCATCTCAATGAACCTAGATTGGCCCTTGATTATTACAAACGAGCATTAGCTGTCTATAAGAATTGTCTACCTATCTGGCACCGATATCGATGGAACATGGAACTCAACATACAGCGACTCTCAAAAGGAATAACAACATAAAAAAACATGCTAAAAATGCTTTGTTTCAATACTGACAATTGATGCTGAATATAACCTATGGCGCGAAAGTCTTGACACAAGATGTTCGCTCATTTTTCGGTCACTTAGAAGCAACTGGTGAGTGCCAAAAGCAGTTAGTTAGAATCAGAATCTTATGCTCTTTCGGAATAAATGTTCAGAATTTCATTCTGACGTTATTTTAGCAACTTATGAGCAAATGTTTTGAAACGTCCAAAATGATGACTGTACAGAGGTTTATTTTAGCTATTGATTAAAACCCACTCAAGTTAAAATGTAAAAACGGTTTTAATAGTGCAGTTTTGTAGAGCAAGGCTTTCTCTATAAAATGTGCTATTTGCCTTTGTTTGATCTTATATCAAAGATTTGAAATATTTTTTTATTTAAAAAAGCGATTTCTTTTCAAACCCCTTTTTGACCAATACTACTTTACATGAAAAATAGCTCTTCAGAAAAAGAAGCATAACTTTTGAATGATTTGAGACTTCGCTTATGGCGATACCTCATTTTATAGAGAATTGAATGCTCTACAAAACTATTAAGTTAAAACTGTTTTAAAATATATACTAGACAAACTATGAACTACGGAAAAACCCTATTTTGCATTGTACAGACATTATTTTAGACCCTTTCAAAACATTTGCTCATACGCGACTAAAGTAACCTCAGAATGAAATTCTGAGCATAACATTATGATTCTAGCTAACTGATTTAGGCACTCATCAGTTGCTTCTAAGTGACCGAAAAATGAGCGAGCCTCTTGTGCCAAGACTTTCGCGCCATAGGTTATGTATTGAAGTATGTTTTGCCATAACCAGCCCCCTCTCTGTCAAAAAACTATTCTCGTGTTAGACGGTGTGGGTGAGATCCGTATTGCCAATAACACCCACCCATACCCACCCTAGTATATAGATCTAAATGTCCTCTACCTGTTGAGCACATTTTGAGAATCGAAAGGCTATGTTTTATATATAAAATCCTTGAAAGAACCTAAACAATACTCTGAAAAAAAAAAGAATCAATCTTTGCATTTTTCTCAAAACCAGAGTTTTGTACAAAAAAGAATATTTTTCGAAGAAAAAAACACACGCAGGCTTGATCTTAGTTGTCAAAGAAAAAAGTTCAGCTCAGAAGAATGAAGTATAAAACTTTGTGGGGAGGGAACTTTTAGCCATTTTTGACCGTTGTGACTCGTATAATTCCCTGAAGAAAGTATCCAGGGTATCGCTTAAGAGTTATGACCAAAATCATTAAACATTGAACAATAGTTAGAACACGTTTAAACGACGATTGAGCATATCGATTATTTGAGTTATATATTTTAATGCTTTTATTTAATAGTTATGAGGTGTGTGGTTAATCCTCACGCTTCGTTGTCATGGACAATTTTCGTCCCTGTGACACAAAAAAACCACATGAGAAAAAAGATACATATTAAATTAAGAGAGAGAAAAAAAAATATCATAGACATTTTAGAGTTTTGCATTATAATAAATAAATAATTTGAATATAGTATGAAAGAAAGAGAAAAAAATAATAATATAAGTAAATGATAACAGATACACTCAGTAACGTACTATTGATTATATGATACCACGATAGATGTAAACTCGATGTACAAAAGGAAAAAAGATTTATAACTGATTCCATATATGGTTCTAGTACAGTAATAGTAACTCAATCAGAAGCAGAAAGTAACATCAAACAAGGAGGTTTTTGGTTCATGAAATAAACAGATGATCTTTTTACTCGTTCTTCCTTTTTTAAGGATTGCTCTTTTTTTCCGTCAACAGAACCGGATTATTGTAATATTCCTGTATATATAGCAGGCACATTTTGTGTTGGAGGAAATCGCAAATCACCGAAAGATTAGTTCGGATGATCGTGCATATAAGCTTTGACCAGTGGATCTGGCTGAGCTGCTCAATTGGTGTATACCTATTTAAATTGGCAATCTCGATGTTGTTTGCGTCATGCCAACCATGTATACACCTAAAAATTTTCCTATTTAAGGCTTCTAGTTTATTTTGTTTTGAGAAAGATAACTTCGGATATATATTTAGAATAGATTGATAGTGTGGTCTAATGTAAACATTGTAGAGATGGTAAGCCATCTCCTCACTTAACATACGAGTCGGTGTAAGTCGCTTGAAAATTGACAAATTTCTTCATATTTTTGATTCAATATAATCTATATGGGATGAGAAGGAAAGTTTCGAATCCAAAATTGTTTCAAGATATTTAACTTTTGTTTCATGGGGGATTGTGTATCCCTTGCAAATGACCGGTGCGATTGCAGGTGACACTTGTCGATGAAATAAGGTCCAGTTCGTCTTTTGAAAGTTAATAGGTTGTTTCCACATTGTCGCATATGATATTAATGAACTGATAACGTCTTTAAGTTGTTTCACCAGATTAGGTATAAGTTCTTTTGTCGACCATGTAGCTGATGGAGAAATTACAATCGAAAGATCATCCGCGAAAATGTGTTTCCAATGTAATAATGACATACAATTTAATAAATCATAATGGTACACAATAAAAATTGCAGGACCAATACGTGAACCTTCTGGCACACCCTTGTATAAAGTAAAAGCGGTAGACTTAGTTTCTTTTAATTCTATATACGCCGATCGACCGACTAAGTAATTCCTTAACCATGCTAATAAATATGCTGGACAATCTAGTTTATATAGTTTAAGCCATAGACCTTTGTACCACAATTGATTGAATGCTGTTTTAAAGTCCACGAATATAGCTGCTGCTGCTGTATTTAAAGCTAGACACTGGCCAATTTTATCTATGATTGAAACCAAGCGCATTGCCATATAGTGACCAGGTCTGAATTCGGTTTGTTCTTCCGGTGAGATACCATTATCGTTTACCCATTTATAAAATTATATTAGAAAAATTTTTTCGTATAGTTTTAAAAAACACGGAAGTAGCGAGATAGGGCGTGTATCACGCACATTTACTATATTTGTTTTAGTTTTTGACAATAAGATCATTTTGGCGACTTACCAGTGCGGTGGAGAACATAAGCGCGATGCAAAAGAATTAAAGGAGGACCATATGATTGAATGATAGGGTTTGGGTAATAACTTTATTGTTTTGTTTGAAACACCGTCTAAACCAGCCGAATTTTTGTTCTTCAATGCCGAGATAGCTTTCGTAATATACTTTAATTCAATTGTGAAAGCTGGTGGTGTGCAGTGTTGCATGTTGTTTCTCAGTTGATTGTCTACATTTTCAGCTTCCATTTCAATGATCGATGAATTATTTGCATGTTCGGAAAATTGTTCTTTATAAAAATCCTTGGCAATAGCATACATTTCCGCTGGTGTTGAGACGACAGAACCATTTGCTAGTAAAAAGCCTTGGATTGGTGGAGAAGTGACAGAAAAATGTCTTTGCGCTCTTTTCCAAAACTGTTTAACATCACTGTTGTTGAACATTTTACAATATTGGCACTATGTTATTCTTTTGTAGGCGAATAATTCTCTCTTTATTGTTGTTGTGTATGCTTTGAGTTGTACTATGAAAGTTGGATGTTTTGTTTTCCTTGCAAGGCGTAAATACATGTTTTTTTTGTTGTATCAGTTCGACGATGTAAGAGGGAAGTGATGGTTTATAAGATTTGCAATATGATACATAAGTAAGTCGTGCTGCAACTAACGCCAAGAAACGTTCATATGTGCTAAAAAAATATATTTTATCTTGCATAATAGATGATAAGTTTTTCCAATACGAAAAAGTAAACGTTGTGAACATTTCGAGCACCCGCCAGTATGTACGCTTTACCGGATATTGACAGTCACTTTTGATCTATTTAATAGTAGGTGCCCAAATCACTGGAAAATGATCCCTTCCCATGGAAGGGAGAACAGAAAAAGAAGACGATGTTTCAATCAGATTTGCTGGTGCCAATATTAAGTCAATTGTTGCGCTTGATCGAGTGGATGTTGATACACCTTTGTTAACTACCATTAGCGAATTTGCTGATAACCAGTTGAAAAGCACACGAACTTTTTGATTTTCATTTGATTTCGACCATGATTGCTGTTTCGCATTGAAGTCTCCTAGAAGAATTGTATTTTTGTTTCGCTTTATGATTTGTTCAAAAAGAGCCAACGGTAGACTTTCATTCGGTGGTGAATAACATGTTGCTAATTGGAATTTGTCGTGAGAAGTGCCAATGTCCAGAGCTAATACATTTGGTATTTTTTGGAAGGCGTTCACTCGTTGTACTGTAATTGAACGATGTACCGCTGTCAGTATCCCACCAAATTTATTTGTTCCTTCTTGTGAATAAATGTCGTAATTGCTAAAGTGTTTTGAAAAGGTTTTGATAGCTTCATCATCGTGGTGTGTTCCATTAAAAACAATAATTGGGCAAGAAATATTTTCTAGTAGGACAAGAATATCCGGTAAATATAATGATAAACTGCTAATGTTTAATAACATTATTTTTAATTCCCTTTTAACCCGCATAATCTCCTTGGTTTGTTTACTTCTTGTTTCCCATCTAAGTAGCAGATCATCTAAAGTTGGTGTCGTCAACCATTCCATAGTGATTTCGTGAAGTATATTTTTTTGTTTTTGCGTCAGGTGATTTGTTGGTATATCATACGATACATTGCGATCAGGAATAAATTCGTTAGCACGTGGATTCATGGCTTGTTTCCATAGTCGTGTCATTTGATGTTGTCATTGTATTTGAAATAGGTGTTGCATGTCGCTGTTGCTATTGAGATGTTTTGCTGTTGTTTATTGAGTGTGAGGACTCGCGATTGAAACCTTTTTGATCTAGAAAACTAACTAACTTATTGTACACTGGATTAATTTGATGTTTTTGTTGAGCATTAATTTATGGATAGATAATGTTTGTTACATCCTTCAACAGAGGACATACGACATCATTTAATATATAATTAGTATTCAATATTTCTATGGTTTGATTGTTTATTTTCATATTTGTGTCATTACATTGTTTGCATAATTCCGTCTGTTGCTTCAGTATCGTTTGTATATTATTCTCGATTGAATTCAATCTTTTCATCAGATTATTGTTATTATTACTGTTATTATTATTATTATTGTCCACCGACTTGTCCGTCAACATTGATTCACTCGTCATTCCATTACCAAAAAGATGATTGGCAGTGTTGCATGCCCATATATTTGTATTTTTCGATTGCGTTGATGTCATGGAAGATGTTGTTTTCATTTTTTTATTTTCACGTGTTTCGATTTTCAAAGGACAATTTGGATTTCCTGCCATGTGGTTGCCTTTACAGTGTGCGCAGCATATTTCATTTTGACATTCAGGATTGTAGTTGTGCTATTGACCGCATTTAAAACATATAGGTTTATCTTTATTGGGACAATGCGCAACAACGTGATCATCATATTGTTGGCAGATGTAGCAGCGAAGTATTCGAGTAGGTGGAACATATGGTTCTATGGTATACGCTGTATTATTATCATCAAGTAATATTCTTTTATTCTTCAACATTTCCGATAATTCTTTGTTGCTTGAGAAATCAACACGAATTCTAGATATCAGTCTTCCACCTTTCACAAATAAACGTTCACCTTTAATTATTGTTTTATATCGTTGTTTAAGTTCATCACAAAAATTTTGTACATTCCATTGAGTTGGTATATCCAAGACCATCAAAGAATATGACGCGGAAAATCTACAGGAATATCAATTGAATACTCACAATTGCATATTGTAGCCGGCCAATTCGACTTGACCAAGAGTGTTTCAAATTGTGTTGCTGTGTTGCAATAAAGTAAATAATGTCTATCATTGTCCGATGTTGACATTCGACCATATGTTAAATTTAATTTACATTGTCTATTTAATTCCTTGATGATGGTGACATCTTGAACTGGATATTTATCATCATCTTTCAATTTGATACGAAATGGTGGAANTATTGGTTGAGGGGTAACCGAAAGAAATCAAGCGATAGAAAAAAACGACTTTCTTAGGGTAAATCAAGACGACGAGTTCGAATCTGAGCTGCATCGCCCCCAAGTCATATTGGGTGAGCAATAGCCAATAGAAGTCAAGTGTTTATAGGAAAGATTTGCCAGGATAATTTTGATGTCCACACATTCTAGGATGACTCATCTGTCTAATTCACTTTTTGAAGCACACATAGCTCCCGGATTTAAATCCGAGGTTTCCACATTTATTTATCTTTGCAATAAGTGGGCTAGCCTTCTTGTTTCTTTATGTTTTATATACCATTTTGTAGCTCGTAAAATTCTCTATCGAATGGTATATAATATTTGGGGGGTTTTGTTTGAGTATGATAGGAAAATTGTTTTACGAAAGCGAGGAATGGTCGATTTTCCCACAGAGAGGCATGAGGAAAAATGAGTATTGTTGCAATAACTCAGGAACGGTTCGGTCAATTCTTCTCATCTTCGAATTCGACTGAGACATTTGTAAGACTGAACTGTGTAGAAAATTTCATCGCGATCAGACTCTCTTTTCAAAAGTTATCGTGTAAACGGATGGACAGATGGACAGATGGGCGGACACACTGACCGATTCTAGAGTGTACGCACTTTTTGAGTACACAAAAAAAGGCTTATCTAGCAGAACTGCGTTTTTATATCAATAAAATAGATTGTATCGAGCATTTTCTTTAACGATTTATTTGTATTTTTAGTGGAAAAGAAACGAGCTCTAACGCATTTGAATAAATGTATTGAAACTTTAATGAACACATGCAAGCTGATAAAAAAAATGCATTTAAACACACACTTTTGTAAATTTTTTTTTCCCATGAGGAGAGAAAACATTTTCGATAACTTAAAAATATGATTGTTACATTCATTCAGAAGAATATTTCTATTATTTGTTTGCAGAATACAACAAAATAATAAAGAACATGTCGATCGATTTCGTTAGCGAAACTAATCAACATGTAGACAATATGTCGATGAAATCTGAAAACAAAGTTCATCATCATCATCATCATGAAAATATACATTCTGGAAAAGTCGGTCGTGCTGTGCTTTTAGCGGCTTTTACTTCATTAGGTGGATGGTTTTTTGGCTACGACCAAGGTGTTACTGGTGGTATAGTTGTCATGAGCTCATTTAAAAATGACTTTTGTGTTAATGTGTATGCCAATAAAACTACGTGTGATCTCCCAGTTGTTGCTTTACCTTCCGACTACAGACGATTTCTGGTACTTTTTACGTTATTGTATAATGTTGGATGTTTTATTGGTGCTGTGTTCATTTCTTCATTTGTGGCAGAAAAATTTGGACGTCGAGCGATTATTTTCACGGCATCACTATTCTTTTTAACGGGTACTTCAATGGTTATTTTTCCACCAGGGGGTTCTAAAAATATAATGATTTTAATACTTATCGGACGAATTGTTGAAGGAATAGGTGTTGGTTGTTCTTCATTTTCTTGTCCAATATACGCTTCAGAAATAGCTCCAACAAATATTCGTGGAATGCTTTCTGGCTTTATGCAAATGACGGTAGTAACTGGATTGTTTGTTGCTAATATTGTAAATCTTCTATTGCGAAATCATAAATGGGGTTGGCGATTATCAAATGGAATTATTTTAATTGCTCCAATTACGATAATGATTGGCATATTTTTTTGTCCTGAAACTCCTCGATGGCTATTCAAGAACAAGGGTCGAGACTTAGCAGAGAAAAGTTTAAAACGTATTCGTCAAACAGAAGATGTAACTGCTGAGTTAGACGCTATTGCTGATGCCGTACAAGAGGAAGGTAACCAAATTTCAATCAAAGAACTTTTCACAACAAAGAAAATGCTTGAAAGACTTGGTGTTGGTATGGGCATACATATTTTACAACAAGCAACGGGTATTAATCCAATATTTACATTTGGCGGTATTATTTACGAAAGTGTTCTCGGAAAGGGCATCATAGCATTATTAGTTCTATCTGGTGCAAATCTACTAAGCACAATACCAGCTTTGTTCTTATTTGATAGATTAGGACGTCGAAATCTTCTCATATTTGGTGGCTTAGCTATGGTAGTGGGTCATCTTGTAGCAGCTACAGTATTTGCTACAGGTTGCAGTGTAGCCAAAAATGTTATTAATGGTACAACAGCAACTGAAGAATTAGTAGATTGTAAAACAAGTTCTGGAATATTAATGCTCGTCTTTACAGCTATTTTTGTAGCCTGTTTTGCACTTTCTTGGGGACCAATTGCTTGGATTTATGCAGCTGAGATTTTTCCTCTTAACGTTAGAGCTAGGGCTGTTTCTATAACAACAGGAAGCAACTGGTTTATGGGTACAATCATGTCTTATATATTGGAGCTAATAGCTCCATTAGGGATTCATGGATTATTTTATCTGTTCGGTGGTCTAACTTTATTGGCCGTAGTATTCGTATATCTTTTCTGTCCAGAAACAAGAGGAGTTTTACTCGAAGATATTGAAGAAAAATTTGATGATTTTCAGTTGAAAAATAGAACAATAATTAAACTATTACGTAAACCGTGTCAAAAAAACCAAAAAAGATCGGCTAAAGTGAATGTAATTGAAACGGAATGATAATATATTGCTTTAATCTTTCTGTAACATCATCATAGTTTGTAGCGAGTGAATTAAAAATACTTTTCTTTTTTCATTAAACAGAAAAATTTTCTTTTTTTTTTATAATATCAAATAAATAAAATCGATCGAACATTATCTGTTAAATTAAACAAGTATAATTAATAGACACGATCTATATATACTTTCTATGATATGGGATGATCAAATTGCGTATGAAATAACCTTCTTACTGATGTCTCTTGGATTTTACATAATGAAGAAACAGTAACATATGTCATCTTATTATGCGTATCTATATCCAATGAAGATATTTTTTATATAAATCATTCTTATTTATTAAAATATTTCTGATAAACATAATTTAATTCTTAAATAGAACAGAAATTCTTATTTATTTTCACAATAAAAATACTTTACGTAACTCTATTAACAATAAACGTATAATGTCATTCTTTATTTTTATAACGTTTTTTTTCTGTCACATCATTGCGAAATATAATTCGTTTCTTATTTTTATTATAAAGTTTTCATCTATCATTGAGCTAAATTTTACACTTGCTTTGGGACGAAAAGACGAGAGTGAAATGAATGTGGGTATCAAAGCAATATGATCATTGACTATATATTCATGTAGAAAATACATTAGGTGGTCTCGCATTATTTTAATGCAAATTTTGATGGATAAATAAGAATGGAGAAAGTATCGAACTTAAATATTCGAACAAAAGTATTTTCGATATTCGAAGAAGTAAAACTATCAAGCTACAATCCATTTTATATAAGATATTTTTTATCTTAGTCTGATATATGTATTATATGTATCGATTGAAATAAAGGAAAAATACTTAAACTGTTAAACGAAGTTTCGTTTCATGAATACCATAACACAAATTGTTAAACAACACACAAAAAATAATTGTTAATGATATAAAATGATACATTCATGTCTAGTTTTTTATCAATTAGATTCGAGCAGTAATTAAATGATAGAAATATCGATAGACTTTTCAACAGTTGCTTATTTATTCATTATGTTTCTATTTAATATCAAAAATTCTATATGATCTCTTATTTAAACACAAAATACGATTGATAAAAATGAATTGTTAAAGCTTTTCATCGATTTGACTTTTATTTTTCTTATCAGAGAGATGTAAGGTTTTTTAGACTATTGATCTGTAAGTCTAAATATAAAGATCAGTGATCGTTTTTTACAGAATTTTATTCTAGGCATTATTTGTTTATGCATTCAACATATTTTCATAATATCTTCATCGTTTGTTTGATCATTTGCTTGGATTAATGTTGATCATTAGTAGTTTTCATGAAAAAGATTTTTTAACATAAAAAAGTGAATATTTGAAAATCTAACTAACAAATTTATTCTATTTATATTTAACAAGAAGAAAAAAATAAAGTATACATAAATAATAGAGCTCGTTGACGATCTCTAAAAAAGAATAATAAAAACAAATAGAAGTATGTACCTCAAAAAAAAACAACATTGAGCTCTTCTTCAGAATTTTAAAAAGATTCATTGGAAAAAAAAATTAAAATTTATATATTTCATAAGACAAAGAAGGACGAACATATAGTCGTTTTTTTTTCTTGTTCATACCTACTTCTATATTTATTATAAGATAAAATAAATATATGTCAAAATTTCAATGTTCCTTGGTTATGCTGATCATTGGTCATCGTATGAGTAACAGATTGATTCCACCATTTGTTTATTCCATTGAAGAAATAAATGGCAAGTAAGTTAAAAATCACCAAAATAATAAGACACATTTGAAGAATCATTGGTGAAAAAAAAGTATTATCATTAGTTGTTTTATTTAATGATGAATTTGATTCACGATCAGATTTGACCTAAAATAAAAAAATTATTTTTCAGTTAATAAAATAAATTATTTTTACAAACAGATATTTTTTGTTGTTTAGTGTTTGTCCATGATCGTGATAATGTTTGAAGTTGTTCGTCTGTTTCCCGCATCTTTTCTAATAATCGATCATAACGTTGAATTGTATCATCATGTTCTTTCTTATGTTGATGTACAATATCAGGTAAAGAAGATCCGAATATTTTATCTTTTTTTTGTTCATATTGACTATGTTGTGAACTAGGTGTCATTGGTGTTAGAGAACAATTAGTAATAGAAGAACTTTCATAGGAATCAATTGATAAAGGAGGAAAAGATTGACGAAAATGTTGTGGTATTTCAGATAAACGTGATGATCGATAACGAACAGAAACAGGAATCATTGACGAACAACTTCGAAGACATGGATTACTTGCTGAATGTGTTGATAATAAAGATGAAGTTTTATTTGATAATGATTCCATTCTAAAGAAGAAATAAAATCATTTGAATTTTTTTTTTTTAATAATTGAAGAATTTTGAATTTATATTTACTTTTTCGTCGGTGATTTAACTGTTTTATCTCGTCCCTGATGAATATATTGTCTAACAGGTGACCATGAAACATGTTGTCTTCTGTTCAATTGTCCATATGATGGTCGATTATATTGATTTGAAAAAGTATACCAAACAGTTGGTCTTGATTTTTGTGCAAATCTTTGTTCTGAAAGTGACCTTGATCGTTGTTTATTTATATTAGGAGGAATATAAGTATCTCCTCTATATGGTTTAACATAATATCGAAGTCGAGCTGGACGACATGTATTTGACATAAGTTGATTTGAATTTGATGAATCAAATATATTAATTGTTGGTTCAAAAAGGGAACGAAGAGGAGGAAATGGTTGAGATGATGTTTCTTTGCCTGTTACTTCTGCAAGATGTTGAATTTCATTGGAATCAAAACAAGTAGAAGATGTGTGTTTCTTATTCAAAGAAGAAGGAGAACATGAACGAGAATTTAAAGATTGATTCAATTTTGATATTGATTTTTTTTCTTTCTGTTGACACTTTTTAAGAATAGATTTACTAGGTGAAGTAAGAGAAATTTGATCGGAAAGATCAATATTTTTATGATATTTTTTTTGATCGAATTCATTTGGATTAAGTAATGAATCTTTTTCTTCCTAAAAATAATTGAGATATTATTATAATAAAAATTCAATGTGCTATTTACTTTAATTGCACCAATATATTCTTGTTCAAGACTATCTTGTTCACTCGGTGTTTTTGATGAACTTTGTTTAGAAAGTTGATTATTATCTTCGTCTTTCGATTGAAATTCATTATGATAAAAATGTTTGGTAACTTGATCTTCAGTTGAATTAACTTGAAAATACGGTTCAGTTTTAATAAGAGTTGTTTTTGTCGATGGTGAAAGTCGTTCATCATCAAATTTAACACGTACACCACGTTTATTAGAAGCAAACTCTTTTTCGAGTTCTTCAAATTGTTGAATTTCTTCATGAGCTCGTTGTTCTTCTTCAAGAAAACTTGTATCTATACTCGAACTACTCATTGGAGATGTAGTCATCTTATTTAAGAAATATTTCAAAAACAAAAATAAATAATTCTTCTTTTGTAAATTTCTTACCTCATCATCTTGTTGTTCAACAATAGGTTCGAGTATAGTAGAATCACCATAATATCGATGCTCTTCATCATCATCCATTGTTCGTTACACTGAAAATGATTGATAGAAACCAAAAAATCATTTGATTAGGAACGGAAACAGCTGCTGCATTTCTTTTTTTTTTGTCTCAGTCGTTGGTGGACATATGAATAGCTTCTTTTTTACGTTATATTCTGTTTGATACATTATTTAGAGGTCTTATGTGTCACATATGTTGTCTATTCTTTTCATTGATTGTGATCGGTTTTACAAAATAACAATGTTGCTTCAAAATAACATTTTCTACTAAAAAACACAACTCAAAACGAAACAAAGAAGGTCACAAAAAAATGTCTTGATGAAAAAATTGAATATCTAACAAGAAAAAATCAAGTATCTATTATGATTAACCTATTGAACAATAGAGTAAAGTGAAAAGAATAATTATTTTAATGCTTTTATTTAATAGTTACAAGGTGTGTGGTTAATCCTCACGCTTCGCTATCATGGACGATTTTCATCCCTGTGACACAAAAAAAAATCACATGAGAAAAAAAGATACATATTAAATAAAGAGAGAGAAAAAAAAATATCATAGACACTTTAGAGTTTTGCATTATAATAAATAAATAATTTGAATATAGTATGAAAGAAAGAGAAAAAAAATAATTTAAGTAAATGATAACAGATACACTCAGTAACATACTATTGATTATATGATACCACGATAGATGTAAACTCGATGTACAAAAGGAAAAAAGATTTATAACTAATTCCATATATGGTTCTAGTACAGTAATAGTAACTCAATCAGAAGCAAAAAAGTAACATCAAACAAGGAGGTTTTTGGTTCATTAAATAAACAGATGATCTTTTTACTCGTTCTTCCTTTTTTAACGATTGCTCTTTTTTCCGTCAACAGAACCGGATTGTTGTAATATTCCTGTATATATAACAGGTACATTTTGTGTTGGAGGAAATCTCAAATCACCGAAGGACTAGTTCGGATGATCGTGCATATAAGCTTTGACCAGTGGATCTGGTTGAGCTGCTCAATTGACTTATATCTGTTTAAATTGGCAATCTCGATGTTGTTTGCATCATGTCAACCATGTATACACCTAAAAAGTTTCCTATTTAAGGCTTCTAATTTATTTTGTTTTGAGAAAGATAGCTTCGGATATATATTTAGAATAGATTGATAGTGTGGTCTAATGTAAGTATTTTAGAGATGGTAAGCCACCTCCTCACTTAACAACGAGTCGATGTGAGTCGCTTGAAAATTGACAAATTTCTTGGTATTTTTTATTCAATATAATCTATATGTGACGAGAAGGAAAGTTTCGAATCCAAAATTGTTCCAAGATATTTGACTTTCGTTTCATGAGAGATTGTGTATCCCTTACAAATGACCGGTGGAATCGCAGGTGACACTTGTCGATGAAATAACGTCCAGTTCGTCTTTTGAAAATTAATAGGTTGTTTCCACATTGTCGTATATGATATTAATGAACTGATAACGTCTTTAAGTTGTTTCACCAGATTAGGTATAAGTTCTTTTGTCGACCATGTAGGTGATGGAGAAATTACAATCGAGAGATCATCCGCAAAAAGGTGTTTCCAATGTAACAATGACATACAGTTTAATAAATCATAATGGTACACAATAAAAATTGCAGAACCAATACATGAACCTTGTGGTACACCCTTGTATAAAGTAAAAGCGCTAGACTTAGTTTCTTTTAATTCTATATACGCCCATCGTCCGACTTAGTAATTCCTTAACCATGCTAATAAATATGTTGGACAACCTAGTTTATATAGTTTAAGCCATAGATCTTTGTACCACAATTGATTGAATGCTGTTTTAAAATCCACGAATATAGCTGCTGCTGCTGCTGTATTTAAAGCTACACACTGGCCAATTTGATCTATGATTGAAACCAAGCGCACTGCCATATTGTGACCAGGTCTGAATCCGGTTTGTTCTTCCGGTAAGATACCATTATCGTTTAGTCATTTATAAAATTGTATTAGGAAAATTTTTTTCGTATAGTTTAAAAAACACAGAAGTAGCGAGATAGGGCGTGTATCACGCACATTTACTACATTTGTTTTAGTGTTTGACAATAAGATCATTTTGGCGACTTGTCAGTGCGGTGGAGAGCATAAGCGCGATGCAAAAAAATTAAAGGAGGACCATATGATTGAATGATAGGGTTTAGGTAATAACTTGATTATTTTGTTTGAAACACCGTCTAAACCAGCCGAGTTTTTGTTCTTCAATACCGAGATAGCTTTCGTAATATGTTTTAATTCAACTGTGAAAGCTGGTGGTGTGCAGTGTTGCATGTTGCTTCTCAGTTGATTGTCTACACTTTCAGCTTCCATTTCAATGATCGATGAATTATTTGCACGTTCGGAAAATTGTTCTTTATAAAAAAATCCTTGGCAATAGCACACATTTCCGCTGGCATTGAGACGATAGAACCATTTGCTAGTAAAAAGCCTTGGATTGGTGGAGAAGTGACAGAAAAATGTCTTTGCGCTCTTTTCCAAAACTGTTTAACATTACTGTTGTTGAACATTTTACAATATTGGCACCATGTTATTCTCTTGTGGACAGATAATTCTCTCTTTATTGTTGTTTTGTATGCTTTGAGTTGTACTATGAAAGTTGGATGTTTTGTTATCCTTACAAGGCGTAAATACATGTTATTTTGTTGTATCAGTTCGACGATGTAAGAGGGAAGTGATGGTTTATAAGATTTGCAATATGATACATAAGTAAGTCGCGCTACAACTAAAGCCAAGAAACGTTCATATATGCTAAAAAATTATATTTTATCTTGCATAATAGATGATAAGTTTTTCCAATACGAAAAAGTAAACGTTGTGAACATTTCGAGCACCCGTCAGTATGTACGCTTTACCGGATATTGGCAGTCACTTTTGATCAATTTAATAGTAGGTACCCAAATCACTGGAAAATGATCACTTCCCATAGAAGGAAGAACAGAAAAAGAAGACGATGTTCCAATCAGATTTGCTGATGTTAATATTAAGTCAATTTTTGCACTTGATCGAGTGGATGTTGGTACACCTTTGTTAACTACCATTAGCGAATTTGCTGATAACCAGTTGAACAGCACACGACCTTTTTGATTTTCATTTGATTTTGACCATGATTGATGTTTCGCATTGAAGTCTCCTAGAAGAATTGTATTTTTGTTTCGCTTTATGATTTGTTCAAAAAGAGCCAACGGTAGACTTTCATTTGGTGGTGAATAACATGTTGCTAATTGGAATTTGCCGTGAGAAGTGCCAATGTCCAGAGCTAAAACATTTGGCATTTTTTGGAAAACGTTTACTCGTTGTACTGTAATTGAACGATGTACCGCTGTCAGTATCCCACCAAATTTATTTGTTCCTTCTTGTGAATAAATGTTGTAATTACTAAAGTGTTTTGAAAAGGTTTTGATAGCTTCATCATCGTGGTGTATTCCATTAAAAACAATAATTGGGCAAGAAACATTTTCTAATAGGACAAGAATGTTCGGTAAATATAATGATAAACTGCTAACGTTTAATAACATTATTTTTAATTCACTTTTAATCCGCATCATCTCCTTGGTTTGTTTACTTCTTGTTTCCCATCTAAGTAGTAGCTCATCTAAAGTTGGTGTCGCAAACCATTCCATAGTGATTTCGTGAAGTATATTTTTTTGTTTTTGCGTCAGGTGATTTGTTGGTATATCATACGATACATTGCGATCAGGTATAAATTCGTTAGCACGTGGATTCATGGCTTGTTTCAATACTCGTGTCATTTGATGTTGTCATTGTATTTGAAATAGGTGTTGCATGTCGCTGTTGAGATGTTTTGCTGTTGTTTATTGAGTGTGAGGACTCGCGATTGAAACCTTTTTGATCTAGAAAACTAACTAACTTATTGTACACTGGATTAATTTGATGTTTTTCTTGAGCATTAATTTGTGGATAGATAATGTTTGTTACATCCTTCAACAGCGGACATACGACATCACTTAATATATAATTAATATTCAGTATTTCTTTGGTTTGATTGTTTATTTTCATATTTGTGTCATTACATTGTTTGCATAATTCCGTCTGCTGTTTCAGTATCGTTTGTATATTATTCTCGATTGAATTCAATTTTTTCATCAGATTATTATTATTATTATTGTCCACTGACTTGTCCGTCAACATTGATTCAATTATCATTCCATTACCAAAAAGATGACTGGCAGTGTTGCCTGCCCATATATTTGTATTTTTCGATCGCGTTGATGTCATGGAAGATGTTGTTTTTATTTTCATTTTTTTATTTTCACGTGTTTCGATTTTCAAAGGACAATTTGGATTTCCTGCCATGTGGTTGTCTTTTTACAGTGTGCGCAGCATATTTCATTTTGACATTCAGGATTGTAGTTGTGCTGTTGACCACATTTAAAACATATAGGTTTATCTTTATTGGGACAATGCGCAGCAACGTGATCATCATATTGTTGGCAGATGTAGCAGCGAAGTATTCGAGTAGGAGGAACGTATGATTCTATGGTATACGCTGTATTATTATCATCAAGCAATATTCTTTTATTCTTCAATATTTCCGATAATTCTTTGTTGCTTGAGAAATCAACACGAATTATAAGTATCGCTCTTCCACCTTTCACAAATAAACGTTCGCCTTTAATTATTGTTTTAAATCGTTCCTTAAGTTCATCACGAAAGTTTTGTACATTCCATTGAGTTGGTATATCCAAGACTACCAAAAACTATGACGCGGGAAATTTACGAGGAATATCAATTGAATACTCACAATTGCATATTGTAGCCGGCCAATTCGACTTGACCAAGAGTGTTTCAAATTGTGATGTTGTGTGGCAATAAAGTAAAAAATGTCTATCATTGTCTGATGTTGACATTCGACCATATGTTAAATTTAATTTACATTGTCTATTTAATTCCTTGATGATGGTGACATCTTGAACTGGATATTTATCATCATCTTTCAATTTGATACGAAATGGTGGAAATGATTCACGTTGTTCTAGTTTACTATTNCAACAGAAAAGAGAAGCATCCTCAAAAAGAATCTGCACTTTTTCATAAAAATAGCGCATAAAATGTCTATCCTTACATTTCTTTGATAAACAGGTTTTGGAAAGAATATTTTTTTATCAGTTTGTAGAAAATTTTCTCCTCTTTCGAATAGCAGATGATTTATATTTGTCACATTCTGATAAATGAAGGGGAGAATAGAAAAAGATGAAGCACTCGCGCAATAAATTTGTAATTTTTATATGAATTTTTCAAAAACATTTTGTTAGACAGTAATTAATTCGATTTTTGCGCATCCATTAAAAAGATCTTGTAAAATAGTGCTTACTTTGACATTTATGAAATCGGTAAAAACATCTTGTAAACAGACAGTTTATTACAATTAACTATCATCTAAAAAAATGTTTTTGACGAATTCATATACAATTACAAATTTATTGCGCGAGTGCTTCATCTTTTTCTAGTCTCCCTTCATTTATCAGAATGTGACAAATATGAATCACATACTATTCGAAAGAGAAGAAAATTTCCTACAAACTGATAAAAAATTATTCTTTCCAGAACATGTTTATCGAAGAGATATAAGGATAGACATTTTATGCGCTATTTTTATGAAAAAGTGCAGATTCTTTTTGAGGATGCTTCTCTTTTCTGTTGGGTCGTTTCGTTTTTGAACGTATTATCAAAATAAGTTATATATGCTTCGAAAGAGAAGAAAAAGCGCTATCTGTTGGTAAAGAAGGTTTTCTTTCAGCACTCTTTTATTAAAGAGAAATAGAAACCGACATTTGTGCAACTGCTTTTGCATCGCATGTTATGTGTTGCTAAGAGGTATTTCATTAGCATCTTCCTCTCATTGACGTTCAGTCAAAGTTTATTTGCATTATTTTCATTAACTTATTGAAAGATTAGCAGTTTTATTCAAGTTAAAGTTTTCCAACAAATCAACAAAATGCCTCGTTCCAACATCAAACACCCATCAAAGTGAAAGTCAAATGGTCAAGGTCGAGCATCTAGCAAGACTATTTTGAAGAAGAAACAAAATAAAAATATGACAAATCCATCAATAATCTAAAAAAATAATCAAGTGGTGAAGATGTATCGAAAGCAATTTATTGATTTATTAAGTAAAACCGGTATTTTAACTCCAGCTGGTATTGCAATCGATATGTTACGTCTCTTATATGAAGCTAATCTTAATGAAGGAGGAAAAAAGCATGAAGTTGATGTAGTAATTCCATCAACAAGATCTCTTGTTAATTATAATTAGCATGCTGAAATGAATAATGATTCGTCAGATGATGATATAAACGAAGTAAATAACATCAATAATCATTATAACAAAATGATTGTAACTGAAACACAAGTTAATGATAAACTTAATATTTGTCCATACAAACAAAAAACATCAGTTAATAATTTAAACTAGACTCAAGGCACGAAACACATTAATAACAATTATGGTAAACCATTTACATTATTTTCGGCTCCATTGGCAGAATAGGATTTAACTTTGGGAAACGGCGGATTAGCTATCCGTGGAGACAGTGATCTTGAAACGGTAACAAAAGGTTTAAGAAAAGTCATTATTGAAGGTTATAATGTTAACTTGGCCCGTCTCTTACTTCCTCGTGATAACAAAAAATATAGTCGTGATGATGACGAGGATGAAGATAAAAGTATTTATCTTAAACAGAAGGCTGATCCTCGACTTGATAAAAACCTGACCATTCTTGAATTTATATTAGCTTTTACTCGTTATTTGAATATTGTATGTGAAGCTTTTCCTCAACGTCGTCGTGAATTGACAGCTTATATGTCGGATATAATTCGATTATTTTCTCGTTTTGGTCATCCTTTCTTTTATGATTATTATCGGTTATTTGCTCAAAAAACCAAATTCATGTTGCAAACACGTAATATTTTAGTCGATTGGTCCAAACGAGACCATGATATTTATTTTAATGTCCTTTCCGGTTTACAACCGATTGTTTGTGAATTATGTCGCAGTCCGGATCATTCTACTTTCTTCTGTAAAAAAAAATAATTGATCGGGCTGATTTAATTGAAAAAATGATATCGGACAATTATGATCGAAGTACTGATGCAGTTTCATCAACAAAATTTTCATTTCGTTGAGCTTTAGGTGGTGGAGATGCTAAATATGATTCTCCTTCAACTTTTAATTTTTACAATGGGGCCGGTTTTGGTAAATGTATTCAGCTGGACTGTCGTTTTGTTCATTGGTGCTCTCGTTGCCGGGGTACACATCCCAAACAATTGTGTAATAGGAAATAAACTAATATTGACGTTTTAAGTTACTATTTAAGTAACTATTATGTATCAATAATAATAATAATAATATTAAAAAAAAAATTAATTAATCATAACTGCAGTATATTAATGTATTTTAATATATATATGTTAATAGAAATATAGATTGTAATGTCTTTCTTTCTTTATAGTAAGCAGTTGCTGTATGAGCGTTCCGCTTCTAGCAACTACATCAATTGATATTGATCGATTAGAGCAAGAACTAGCTGATCATCCTGATAAGGAATTTACTTCATTCTTGGTGTCGAGTTTACGAGAAGGTTTTGATATTGATATTTCCATTATACCTAACAAATCATTTGAATGTCTCAATTTACGTTCAGCACATCATGATCCAGAAAATGTTACTCGTTTAGTTGAAGACAAACTTAACAAAGGTTTCTTAATTGGTCCATATCGCACTCAATCTTTTTGATAATTATCGAATAAAGCCTATTGGAGTGATTGAATCGAAATATTCAAAAAAGAAACGATTAATTGTTGATTTGTCTGCTCCTCATAATGGGGTTCCAGAACTTCGCCAATAGGATTTTCGCCAACCGTCATGAAACAATATTAATATAGGACAGATGTGACTGAACTTAACGTTGTTACAACATTCATAACCTAGCTTACACTACTAATCTAATCGATAGGCACTTTTTTATCAACGTTAAGTCCACTCTCATGTAGGCGAAATTCCTGGAGTCTACTGGGGAAAGTACGGTGGACATTCGCCAGTTGACGAATTTTCTACAATCTATTGGCGAAAGTACAGTGGACATTCGCCCATTGGCGAAATTCCTGCAGTTTGTTAGTGAATGTACAGTGGACATTCGCCAATAAGCGAATGTCCTATTGGCGAAAGTCATATTGGCGAAGTTCCCGCCACCCCTCATTATAATACACAACATGCGAGCATTAGTTCGTTAATTGATAAAGAATCTTATTCTCTCTCATATGTTACAATTGATGATGCCATCAAACGCATACAGAAATTAGGAAATGGTGCTTAAATGAACAAGATCGATATTCAAGATGCTTTTAAATTACAGCCTATTAAACCATCTCTCTGGCCTTTTTACGGTATTAAATGGAATGATGTTTATTATATCTTTGTACGATTGCCTTTCGACTCTCGTAGTTCATCTAAATTATTTGACATGTTAAGCGAAGCGATTGTTTGGATAGCAGAACATAATTATGGTCTTACAAAAATGTTACATTTATTGGATGACTTTTTTGTAGTAGACAGTGTTGATAATGGTGGAGAGAGAATCCGTGATCTCATCAGTTTACTTTTTAATCGGCTTCAGGTACCCTTATCACTTAAGAAAACAGTCGGTCCAGTACAGGAAATTGAATATTTAGGTATTATTCTTGATTGAAAACGAATGGAAGCTAGATTACCTCAAGAGAAGGTGTTACATTATTGAATTGATTAAAGCTTTACCCAATCAACGAAAATGTAGAAAACGTGAATTACTCAGCATTTTAGGTCATATGTCATTTGCATCTAGAGTTGTTATTCTAGGCAGATCTTTTGTTCATTATTGGTTCAATTTGACCACCTATGTTCTATCTTTAGAATAGCACATCATCATTAATCGACAGACTCAGCTAGAGTTAACAATGTGGTATCGACATTTGAGTGATTGGAACGGAACTTTTTTCTTTCTTGATTCTAAAATCACCACTAGTACTGATATAGCTTTCTCTATGGATGCTAGTACCATCATTGGTTGTGTGGCAGTATTTGGGAATGAGTGGTTTGCTCTTAAGTGGTCTGAGCAGATGATACAACAGCTTCCAGAGACTAAGAAATCAATTGCACTTTTCGAAATTATTCCTATTGTTATTGCTGCTGTTATATGGGGTTCTTGGTGAGAAAGGAAACGAATATGTCTGCTATATGACAATCAGATCACAGTTAACATAGTTAATAAAGATCGATCAAAAAGCTCACTTATTATGGCGTTTTCTCGCAAATTAACTTTACTTGCAATGCAACATCATTTCTTATTGCGAGCTATTTATATTTCTACAAAAGACAATGCTTCTGCAGATGCTCTTTCTCGTTTACAGATAACTCGTTTTCGTCAACTATTACCAACCTCTGATTGAAACTCAAGAGACATTCCTCAAATGAAGGACTTGACGTTCCCATCGACCGAATCGATAACATTGTAATTGACTTGCTTAATAATACTATTTCTTCTTCTTCAAAAGCTTCTTATTCTTCTGATTATAAACTGTTCTCTAAATTTGCAGCTATGTCAGATTATAACATACATTCTTCTTATTTACCTCCGCGTCTTATTCTTCGTTTCATAGCTTTTTCTCATGGTCTTCGTTCCATTCAATACGGCACAATTCGCACTTACTTAGCTGCTATTCGTTTTTATTGTTTACGCGACGGCTTTTCAGATCCATTTCTAGACATGAACGATTTTATTATACCACAATTTAAGATGGCTCTTCGAGATATGCATCGTTTCAGTACTTTAGCTATTAAACAATGCAAGCCCATGACCATTAATCTGTTAAACATATTAATTATTGAATTACGTGCAGGTGTTTTTCATCCTTAACTTGATATTCTGATACAAGCAACACTTGCAGCTGTGTTTTGGAGTTTCTTTCGATCTGGGGAACTATGCCGTGATAAATTTCCTTCTCAATTGCATGTTGCGAACGCCGATATTAAGCATGCTAGCAACAATATTATTATTCATCTTAAACACTCAAACACCGACATAGAAAAGAAAGGAGTGGATGTTCGATTATTTAAAAACGAAACTATTACTTGTCCAGTTCATGCTTTGAACATGTCTGCTAGTATTCGAGACAGTAAACGGGATAATTCTCCTTTCTTTCTATTACCAAATGGTCAATCTTTAACTCATCGTGCTTTTGTTGCAAACTTAAGACATTTATTGCTTCGATTAGGTTTTCAAGTTTCTGCTTATAGTGGTCATAGCATGCGAGTAGAGGCGGCTTCATCTGGAGCAGCGGCAGGTGTTCCTGATCATTTGATTCAAACACTTGGACGTTGGACTTCTTTGTCTTATGTACGTTATATACATGTCAGTAACAATGTTATTCAAAAAGCTCATAATAGCATTTTACAGTTTTCCACTTAATTTAATTTTTGGGCACGAAGCTTTTACTTAGCGCTCAAGCTTCTTGTGACATTTTAAAGTACACAAGAATGACTCATCTACTTTTTTTGTTGTTGTTTAATTATGTAAAAATTTTTATAATGCAGAAAAATATATGCCCAACTCGCCACTTTATAATCAGAAACTTTATAATTTAGGAGGAGATCGGCATGAAACGATTATTTCTGACCAAAAGAAAACTGTTTCGGAGCACGAAAGTCACATTTCAAGATGGTTATACGAAAACTGCTTAATCCCTAAGAGATCTCTCAGCAAAATTCTCGTAGAAAAACTTTGTTTTTTCAAAAAGCTTTTATTTTCTTGAAAATGATTTTTTGAGTGATATACGATCATTTCTGAGCAAATTAAAACCATTTCTGCGCAAAAAAAGTCCCATTTTCACCTGTTCATGCGAAAGTACCGCATTGTATGTGAGGTGTTCGAAGGTCTTTAGAATGATTTAAGAGCATATAGCCAATGCGCCTCTTATTTTTATCTGTGATGATCTTCACAATTATTTCATAGCATATAGCCTATAAATATCTTAGTTTCACTATGAGAGGACCTCAGAAGTATTACAAAGTATATAGTCTATACACCTCTTATTTTCTACACAGAAATCTCTTTGAGGGCCTTAGAATTATTTGGTAGGATATACCCTCTGCATCACTTATTTTCGGCAGTGGAAGATATTCAGGGGTCTTTAGAATTGTTTCACAGTTTAGAGTAGATATGCTGTCAATTATAATATAATTTTAAAGATCTCAAAAGACTTCTTTCTGCTCAAAATTAGAGATTTATAGAATATATTCTATGCAATAATTATAAAGACTTGCAAAGAATAGCCACTGCTCAAAATTATAGGTACATAGATCATATACTATGAAATAATTTTGAAGGCCGGCAAAGAATTTCGAAAACTCCCACAGACGGCTATTGAGCCCCAAAGCTTCCCTTCCCATTGATAAAAATAAGTGGTGTATATGGTAAATACTATGAGATAATTCTAAAGATCCTCTTCCTGACCATATTGAAGAGATTGATGGTCCTTGTTTTATTCTATAGACATTCATTGTGGATAAAAGGAAGGCGTTTTTTTTGTTTGCGAAACTTGGGGTTTTAAATTAAAAAGACTATAGATTCTCATGTTACCAAAATTATCAGGAAAATAAGCTCGACACTGGGTGAACTGGAACTTGGGAGCTCAGTTTTCTGTTGTTTACAGTTTACCAATCAATTACAGTCCATGCTTTATGGTGTACAATAGTAGGAGTCCATCACTTGTAATTCCAGTTCACTGGAATCAAATAATTGTTAAAAATTTAATAATAATTAATTAGCACTCAACTAATTCGGACTCAATTTATTAAGACTCAGTCAATGAGTACACTACTAATAAGTTAAGTTATATTTAGTTGAGTATTCATTGATTAAGTACTATCTAATTAATTATTAAATATTTAGAAATTACATAACGTTAGCAACCTATGACCACAGGCAAAAGGATGTTACTGTTGTAAATCATAAAACATAATCTGCAATTGATCGGTTAAATACGATTAAAAAGTGAGGTCGAAGTTTGAAGTTTACACGCTGAATTCGTTTTTCTAAACCTACCCAAATGCCATTTTGTAGTTTTTATTTTGGGGTGCAATTCTATATGAATTGTCGTCAAATTTAAGCTTACACCAAGATTTTGAAATGATCAGAAATCTTGATCTGCCAAAATAGATTCTTGTTTTGATGTGTTTTGCTGTATTCCATTCTTCATTCAAGGCTTGAGAGTCGTACTAAATGAAACTGATGACCAATGAAAATCTTGATCTCGACACTGAAGCTCGTCAAGCCTATCTGAACGAATTTTTTCAACTCGCAATGGAACCCATCGAAACCAACATTCTCCATTTGAGCGGGTATTTTGCTCATAGATGGACCTGATAGTATATATAAAAATTCTAAAAGGGTTCGTGTCATTAGGCCTTTCTTCTTGAGTTATGATCATTTTACTAAATTTTCAGGATATTGCAGGATATTACGAAAAAAATTGCAACAGCAAATTTTCACCTGAAATTTTCCCCAACAACAGATTTCATGGTCTTTATGATATCCTGAAAGTTTCAGCTCAAACAGACATTTTTCTTTCCAGATAACACATTTGCAAAAAACATTACTTTCTTAGGAAAACTCCGAAAATAGTCCATTTTTTATACATCTTATATCTTAAGAAGAAATCATTCGTTTGAACTGAAACTTTCAGCATATCATAAGAACCATGAGATCTGTTGTTGGTGAAAATTCTTTGTTGCGATTTTTTTCCTAATATCCTACAATATGCTGAAAATTCAGTAAAATGATCATAATACGAGAAAAAAGGTCTCATGGCATGAACTCTTCTAGAGTTTTTATATACACTATGAGTCCTAAGTATGAGCAAAATATGAGTTCAAAGGGACAATGCCAATTGAATAGGTTTCCTCGTCAAGTTTGCTTTTTTTGTCAGAGTTGCACGCGTAATGCTTAAAGTGTATTCGTTATTGAAAAAGAAACACTATTTCTATATCATCTGCATTTGGAAATAGTTGAGGAAGTTTAATGAGTTCAGATCGAAATCTATGAATAGTTCAAATGGTTTGTCCATGTATCGAAAATGTTGGACCTGAAAGTCTCTATTCAACGCATACCAAAAGTTATTTTTCATTTTTCTAAAGGAAATTTTCTTCAAAGTTATAATGAGATTTCTCAATATAAGGATTATGGAATTTGTTTCTAAGAATCAGTGTGGATTACAAAATGTGAATTTCGTCTTTATTCATTTGATATATGCTGTTGAGCTATTGTTTGGTGAAGAAAAGTTAAAGCTATAATAATATTGTGTTGATTAGATGTCGTAGACAAAACAGATCTCGAGAATGTGTAGGAAATACAGCTGCATCTCTTCCAAATTTTTTTTATATTATCCTTCAATGATTTTTTTAAAACCATTAAAAAACATAGTATGTCGAATACGCACATTCCATTTGCAAGATTGTCGATTTGTTCTGGTTTCAGTGAAATTATCCTTCTATTTCCAAATGCAGATGATATAGAAATAGTGTTTCTTTTTCAATAACGAATACACTTTAAGCATTACGC